TGAAAATAAAACAATTCAAAATTCATTTCAAGGATCTATAAGGAATTACGTAAGTTTACATGTACCTTAAAGAGTAGAACTAGGAATGACAATTTTAAACGAGCTTAGTAACCAAAAATACCCAGTAGCAACACTTCTACAATACTGGAAGTAGACCTAGTGCAGAGAGAAATGCTATTACTATAAAATACATATCATCAGCTTTCTGTCTTCCCAAATTCAATCGGCACAAACATGCAGTATGAACAAGGAGAAATACACTTTTTAATGAGAAATGTTAGGACATGAATCAGTGTCTGAATAAGAATGGAAAGAAAATGAAAACGTGATATGCTTTCTGTGATTCCTGGGTTTTATTTATTAATCTAAAGATCCTTCTGAAGCCAAGTACAACTATAGTCAAGATTTCAGTGGAGAAGGAGAAAGCTGAGCTGGGAGAAAAGTGCGTATTACTTTTCTGGATATGCAACTGTCCTGTGAACCTGCCCTTCTCTAGTAAAGGTTGACTGGAGGGAATCTTACTAAGTCTGTAAGAACAGCATCTAGATTGTATGTGCTATGTAGTTCCCTGCTTGAGTGCAGTATGTTGACTTTAACAGGAGAATTTTATACCAAGTTTGTGTTGCCTTGCAGTATCATCTCATGCTTTAGATGTGGAAGATGAAAAGCTATTTCTAAACATGTGGCTGTAGCATCATCTTTAGAAAGAGCTTGCAGTTTTTCGTGTTTTATTCATTAAGCTCACTGGAAGCAGTGTTTCTGGCAATCATATGACATATTGTTAAAAACTTCCAGGCTAACCAGGTAATAAAAAGGCTTTTCCGTTCATATAGATTGTTCTATGCAAGGAGATGCAAACATGCATAGAAGATCTAGGATTCTTCTGGCGCTGAGTAACTTCTGTATTAGATTGCAAGTTTTATGCGCACCGCGTTTTGCTTTCCCTTGACCCTTCCCCGTTTCTGTGGGTGAGAAAAGGTGAAAAAGCCCTTTAGTACTGTGGCTGTGTGAATGCATACAGTGGGGGGACGGTGGTTGTGGTGAACTCGGCAGCAGTTGCTCTTCAAGAGCAAGGAGGTGAGACCAGCGAAGGTGCTCTGTAGCTCCCTGAGAGACTCTGAAGCGGCTCGGATCAGGAATTCAGCTGCCATTATGTATTTGCGATCCTTATAAAATGTTTGGATCTTCAGGAGTCTAGCCCTTGGGGGATGAAGAGGAGGCATTTGTAGCTGAATGTTTTCCAAGTGCAGAGAGGATGGAAATGTCTGACTGATTCTCCTTAGAGTGCTTTCAATTTGAAAGCTTAGTAACAATATTTAATTGTTTGTTAACTGTTAATTGTTGATCCTTATAGCTGATAGCAGGAGTGAATCATGGTGGGCTGGCATTGCAGGAGGTTTAAAGGGAGAGGAAAAAAATGGAAACAAGGGACGGTCTCTTTTCATTGAACTCTCCTTATTTGTATATAAGCAACTCTGATTAAATCCATGAATCTTAATACTTTTCAACAGACCCTGAATAGGCAGATGGCTTCAAAACTGAAGGGTACTGGCTTTCACCAGAGACCAGTGGCCCTCTGAGTGAGGGATGGTCTTGATTTGGGCAGGTGAACTGATATTAATCAGGCTTTAGTTTCCACTGTAGGTTTCCTCTAAACTGTATCTTCACCTATAAAAGAGTGTATCTAAAGGTTCAGAAAAGTAGAAATGTATAGTGACAGCCAAGTCTGCAATGGATGATAAATTTTGCAATTATTTTTGAGTAACGGCTTAAAGAAATTGACTACTGTTAAAGTAATTCCAGTGTGGAGGGGTTGTTTCTTTTCTTTTAATGTCCCAAATGTCTTGACTCAAACTGTGAACTTTCTTGCAATTCACATGTGGTGTTGCTGTCTATTCAAGCTTGTCTCTTCATTTTTAGGAATTTTTCTGCCATAAATTAGGAATTTTTTGTCATAAAATGCAAAATAAAATTGATATAGTCTTAGCTTTTATGGTTCTTGGTAGCTGTTCCTTGGGGTAGGAAACTTAAATATTACATTAGTTTATCAGTGTGGTCTAGTTGTGACTTTATTATGCTTTTGTGGAAGAAATAGTATCACTTAATTTCTAACAGTCTGGATTTTTTTTCCAACAGGAACTGTTCTTATCAGAAGCAGTAATGGCCAACTAATGCTAGTATCTCAACAAGCAATAGCACGAGCACAGAGTCAGCCACAAAATAACACAAATGTAAGACCATCTGTACCTACCAGCACACCAGCAGTTAGAATATGTGCTGTACAGGTAACTTCTCCAACACCTTTAATTTGAAGTAGCCGTGTGTTATGTTCTTTTATGTAGTTATAATAGGGTTTGCAAAAAAAAAAAAAAAAAGCTAAGGGTTCACTCAGTATTTGAAAGCTTTCTGAACAGACTGTTTAGCATGGCAATATTTGTTTTTCACATGAATGTCTGTGTATACTTTGCTTTCTCAGAATGAAAAAACTGCTAGCAGTTATACCTGGTATAGTTCAAATTCTGAAATGCTTCTCTTAGGATGTTGATGCAAATTGTTTTTTAAAAAATGTTTAAAAATAATCACTACTAGAAATTGCAATCTTGCAGTCTTCTAATGAGAAACTTTTCAGATGCTAACTGAGCTTTAGAACATTTCGGAACAGACTCCTGTGTACCTAGAATGTTCTTCCTTCTCTATGCTCTCTTGGCTTTTTGTTTCCCTCTTTTGTAATGTAGGCAGCATACAAAATGAGAGGGGACACAAGTAACCATCTGAGTAGTTTTTCACACTATACTCATCACTTTTTTATTTTGATTAGGAATTGTGTTTAAATGTCTTAATCTCTTTTCACCTGCAAAACTGGTAGACAAATAGCTTTGTTGAAAACTGCTTAAACTATATGGGTTAAATATACCTATTTTATTGTAAGGGTGGGTGTCTTGGTTTGTATTGGACGAGAGTAGGTATTAACTTCAGTGTCTGTTTTATCGTTGACTTGTCGGGCAACTGTTCTCTGCACCATGTACGTTGCTTCTTTCTTTGAAGAACTCTGGCACCCAGTTGCTAAAGAAAGTAGCAGCTACTCCTGTGAAAACATTATCGCAAACAACAAATTCTGTGGCTTCTGCTGTTCAGACACCTGCTGTAATACAGGTAGGTGGCAAACTTTAAATTCCTGTAGTAGAATAACATCCAGTAATGGAGAGAACTGAAGATCATATGGATGCATTCTTGTTAGATATATCTAACTCTTACCTGGCTTTCACTAAGCTAGTAGCTTTTGTCCTTAGATGCATTTCTTTACTCAATGTCCCTTTTTACCTAAATGCATAGTTTAGTTTAACTTTTGCCGGCATGTCAGATCACCTATGCTCACTGCAATAGTGGTGAGTACACCACTTGAACAATGGCAATGAGCAATGTATAAAACCTAGGTAAATAGTTCTGAGAACCATTTCCTATGTATTTGTGCCCTGTGACTGAAGTCCTTCAGGCTGTAGCTGAAGCTCTTCTGGTGGCTGGAGACTTGAAATCATGTTCTCCTATGTGGGTTCCCTGGTGCCTTTGGGAAAAAGCTATGCTTAAGGTGTTGCCAGGTGGAGGGAGCTCTTTCTGCACCCCTGTCCTCTGTCAAGCTGTTTTGTGTGTAGCGTTTTCCTTTTCTTGCTTGTTTTTTCTCATTAAAACCTGAAGGAAGGTGGTAGCTGAAGACCTCTTCTCCAATTTAATTTGACAGACAGGTTTCAAAGATATGGGTATGAATAGACAGTGGTTGGAAATTCCTCATTATTTTAGGTATTTGTCTTGTTTTTTAGGTCATATTTCTCTTCCCTTTCCTGACACAAATGCTTTATGACTCTTCTGAGGAGGCCCTTGCTACCCGTAGAGTACAAGACTTCTCCTAGATAGAGTTCTTCAGTTCTTGGACCAGAGTTCCAGACAAGCATATGATAAAGGAAAACTGCTTCTTTCTGCAGCTAAAATAGTCTGTCCTCCCCATGACCTGGAGGAGAAATCAGGAACAGATCTGGCTTGTACATCCTTTTTTCATTTGTGAAAGAGACTTTGAATGGGCCAGTGCTGTAGTTGTTGACCAGGCCCCTCAGTAAATGAGTAGGATCAGTCATTCAAAAGAACATGCTGGATGTATGTTCTTGACCTTGAGGGCATTTGAAGGATGAGGGGATGTTTGCTGACAGCCATAACTAAGTCTGACTTACAAATTTGTCCTCCTGCTGCTCTTCTGTATTAGCAACTGACAGCTCTGCCTATGCTGATCTATCTCTTCCTTCCCACTGTAACAGATATTGTCGGGGTTAAAGGGGAAATCTTGGGAGACCTGTACCGTAACCTGTATTCATTATCCATTTATATTGTGAATTATTAGTTTGAAAACCATGTGTTCATGATCACTAGGTAGAGGATTTTAGGGTATAAAAGATAATCATCTGCTATATTACCTTTGCACTTAGGAGAAAAGATGGAGGTACAGATTTGTTCTGTCTGGTGGATAAAACTGCCTGGGTTCTCACACTCTAATGTAATAGATGTTAAAGTTCATTATGCTAATAGTGTCACTTCTTAAAAAAAAAAAAATTTGCATCTACCTTTGTTCTTTGTTCTTTCTAGTTCTTCTCTACTTTCTTAGTTCAGTTTGATGTAATCAGTTCAACCTGTATTTCCCCTGAGGTATTTGAAGAGGTGGACATAGAATATTCTTTTTCTGTAAGCTTTTTTTTAAGCTATAGGAACTTGAGCACTTATAATAGGCATAGCGTTGGCTTTAAACAGCAAGAAATATGACTCTAAGACAAATTAATATTGGTTTTTGTTTGGAGTGGTTTCCTTAGGGCCTGCCTTTTCTGCAGAGGATTGCAGTATCTATACCATACAGATATTGCCCTGTACAATAAGGGGTAAATAGGTGCAGTGTGAATACATCCTGCTGTCACAGGGCTGCTTCACTCCTCACTCTGGAGGATGTAGTTTGTGGGACAGCGATGAGAAGAGAGTACTGTCAAGTGAGTCTGCCAGGTTGCAGGAAAGTTCTGGGGGAAGAAAGGAAGAGCCCATGTGTCTGATTTCTTTAGCGGTTGTTATATTTGTCAGGCTCTTGGCAGTGTTTTGAGGTCACAGAAGAGGAGTGTTGGTATGGAGGTATGATGCCATCACCAAGTGGGGGGCTGAAGAGGAAATAATGCTTAGCTTGGTTGTATTTCTCTTATCCCATGCTAAGTGTAACTTGGAGCGTTATTCTCTACAACGCTTTAGTTACTAACTTCAGGACTATTCTCATCGAAATATTTCCATTTGTTGTCATTCCTGGATGTTTGCACTCTAAGGTTAAATATAAATAAGTAAAAATGTGCAGGTATTTGATCTCATCTCCTTCCCAGATGGGATAACGAAGTTGCAAAGTATCTAATTAGCATCATGCTGGGGCACTTTCATTTAGATGCAAAGCTCTTCTCTTGAAATCACTTCAAAATATGCAGGATTAATGCCATTTTTGTGGCGACTGTTTCTCTGTTGCTCAAAGTGAGAATGAGAATTGTCAGTAGTCAAAAAGGTTGAGGGCAGATGACAGAAGCTAATTCCCATATATCCATCTTTCTGGGAAAAGAGTCCAGCAGACTTCCTGTTGTTCCCTCCCTCAGCTGATAAAATTCTGTTCTGGCGTTGATGTGTAAACATAGAGGAAATCGCCAGAGACCAGCTCCAGTGAACCTTGTGCTTTCAGTTTTTTAAAGCCCAAAGCGTTGCAGCTTGACAGTTCTGTGCTCTGTCCCCTTCCGTCTCTCTCCCTTCCATCTGTTGGTGGGATTCTCGTGCCCAGTTTGCCTCCCTGTGGTCTTAGAGCTGTTGAGCTTAATCCTTGGAAGAGGCAGTGGTGGTGGCAAAGATCCTGCAGAGAGCTATTAAAGTGTTACCAACAGTGGGAGCCTAAGCTGGAGGGCTTTCTGGTAGCTGCCTGCTGCTTTCATGTCAAGCTGGCAGCAGCTTGTGGAGCTGGGGAATGGACCCACCTCAGAAAAAAGAAATAGGTGGCAAAAGTGTCTCTTGTGCTAATTTCAAGTGTTTGCTCACTAATTTTCCATGTCTGGAAGGATTCAAAAACACTTTGATATTCTACAGACTGTCCAACTCTATTTTTTGTTTTATCTGTGATAGGGTAGGTTGGGGTCTTTTATGTGTTACTTTTATAAGTAATACAATTACTGGGTGTTAATTTGTGGTGTTGGACTAAACTGCAACGTTTGAATGTAGTAGGAGTCAGCGAAAGCAATTGAGCTGCGCAGGTCTGAACCTAGTATTTGGCCTGCAAAACTAGTTTTTGGGTTTTTTGGTTTTTTTTTCCTTTTGAAGTGTTAGTGGAAAGGTGTGGATAAAATGAGATCTAACTTCAGTTTCAATGCTAACTGTTTTGCTTATTTCAGTATCTTACAACTGCAGTCTTTGGCTTTTTAGCTATCAAATAGAGAAATTGAAAGTTTTTTTCCTAAACCTTCATTCCTTTCCTGCTTCTAGAACTTCTGAATCTGCTGATAAGTTTTAATTAGATGTGAAAGAGATGAAGGCATCAAATATCTGAATTTTGTGAGGACTTCTGTCTGGACAGAGGGAAATGATCCAAATTGGTGCTTATGTGGAGGAAAAGGCAAGAAAACCTTGTTCATTAGGTGTTCTTTGCCCAGCTGGCTGCTTTTGCTTGGCACATGCATCCTTCTGAAGTAGACACAACACATGTTGTTTCTTGCCTAGTGGGGGTGTGATAGGAAACATGAGGGTTATTGCAGTTGGGAGAGGAAGGAAGATATTTCAAAGGCAGATATATAATCACTTGAGGTCATATCTTTCTACAGAGTAGCATCACTTGGCTTAGTGTTGTCCAAAACTGATTAATCCTAGACTGCAGAAGTCTGGCAAAGTTATGGTATTGGTTTCTTTAAATAACTTTATTTCTCTCTCTTCACTGGAAGTTGCAAGCAGTTATTCCAGACTGGGTGAGTTTATATTAAACAGAGCCTCTCCAAGCAAATGAACCGTCTGTCTTTATTATCAAAGATAGAAATAGTTTAGCTATGCTGTAAATAGCTTGGTAGTTTGGAATGTGGAGAGAGGATGCTACTTTGTATGCTGGCAGAATACTGTATGTATTTTCAAGTTAGTCTTTGATTAAAAAGTGTTAATTTTTCCTTTTAGCCAGCAGCTGCAGCAGCTAGTGTTACTACAGTTACTGCTGTAAAGCCTTTGAGTACTGGAACACCTGTAAAACTTCCAGTTACAGGACCACCTGCACAATTGATCTCCCAGAAGGCAGCCTCTGTGAAAGCAGAGGGCACAGCAGTAGCACAGACCAACACTTCTGCAGTAAGAAAAAAGTTTTTAATTAAAAATTAACATTCTCTATAGTCATCAGAGGTTGGAGAGCCAATGCAAGATCTAACAATCTTCTTTTTATTTCCTTGCTAGGAAATGTTAGAGAATGTGAAAAAATGTAAGAATTTTCTTGCTACGCTAATAAAACTGGCATCTAGTGGACCTCAAGCCCCTGAAATGGGGCAGAATGTGAAGAATCTGGTGCAAAATCTATTGGTGAGACTCTCTTTAAACAAAGTCTGTCATTTGTGTATCAACTTGTGGCATACTGACTTTCTCTTACTTTTGTTCCTTGTCATTCTGCTTGTATGTCATTCTTTAAACAGCTGCAGAGCCTGGTTTTGGGCCTAACCCTCTAAGTCTTATATTATAGCATGCTTTTTAACTGGCTACCATACTTTCCTGCCTGCCCCCCCATTTCTATTTCATTTTTATACGTGCAGATAACTGACAATAGAAGGAGCTAGTGGTGCTTACCCAGCTTATGGGTCTGAGCTGCTTTTTTCACCATTAGTGTGGTTTTGAGTCAGGGTAAAACCCTTGCCATTCAGGAGGTTGTAGTGCAGTGCTGAGTCCAAACTACTGTCATGCTCTAAGACAGAGCTGACTTAAAAGCTGGCAGTTTGAAGCTCTAGTGAAGCAAATGTGAATTGATCTGTATCTTTATACAATGTGATGGAGAGAATAAGCTGGTGGCTGCCAACCTCTGTGGTGTATCTCTCCTTGCAGTTGCCTTCTAGATGCCTTCTAGTGCTGTACCCCAGCCCCAGCTGGATTTTCTTGCTAGTAATTTCTCCTACTACTACTACTTCCACTTCTTGACATTCAACCTCTGCTGCTTTTTTATTGCTCTCTGTAGCCACCTTAGCAGAAGGCTGTGTGTTACAAGTGGGAGATATCAGTCCTTCAGTACCACCAGGAAAGCTTGGTTTCTTTCTCAGTGTAGAAAAGCGCGTTGTAGGCAGAGGTGTTACCTCAGAGAGCAGAGTATCTTAAGATACAGCTGTGCAGAAATAGGCCGTTCTTCTCTCCCTCTCTTCTGCCTTCATGTCCCTGCTATGTGATACACCTTACTTCTCTCGGAAAATACTAGAATTGTTCCTGTTGTGCTTAGAGTACTTTTTTCTTTCTAATTAAGAGCAGTCCTTACCAGACGTACATCACTGAATTGTGTATTTGTCTGCTTTTTGCGGTATTCTTAAAAAGCTGCTCTTCTAGCATTCAGTATGTGTGTGTGATAGAAATGCAAAATAAATTAATGTTTCATATGCATGAGAGAAACAAGTAAATGACAGTTGTGGAGTAAAATGTTCCTTAAGGTAGTGTTTGATGAAGCAGACATCAAGCACCTTGCATGCACTGACGTAGTGTAGCAGGTCACTGCATCTGTATCAGTGAGTTTGGAGACCTCAGTGACCTGTATCCACACCTCAGTGACACAGAACAGGCAGCAGGTCAAATGACTAAATAGAGCTGCAGCATGTTTTGGTAGTCTATGAATGTAGTCTTAAACACCCTGTTCTTAAACACCCTGTTCTGAATGTATAGCTCCTTAGAACAGTAATTCTAAAGGAGAACACGGGTATAAGGAAGAGTTTCATGGCAGAATGAGAGATCCTGGCTAGGGTCCCTCCTCCTTGTGTTTCTGCATCTTCTTGAAAGAGGTAGTGTTCTGGTGCCACTTAGCTGCTGCTGCAGGGTCAATAACCTTAAACTCTTACTGATTTAATAACATATAGCCTCAGCCTTGCTATTGCTCACCCTTGGTGGGTGAGAATGGGGTCAGTATCTGGGTTACCTCCCACCTAGCCCAGGTGCTGTGGTACTAATGTTTGTGAGTAAGGAGGTTGCAGTCTGCAGTGGTTTCCTAACCCTCCCAAACCACTGAATAGGTGTTTGTGTTGGGGCAGGGGACAAATCATTAAGGAAGATGATGGTACTCTGCAATCTGAGGCTTGTTGCCTTAGTGGTATGCAGAAATGATATTGTGTTTAGTTTCTCCTACTTTAGAAAGAAGGTGTTAAGTATTCTGCTTTATTGTGCCATGTATACATTAGACCAAATTGTTTTACAAAAGTTACTTGAGTTGTCTCTTGTCTCCTGATCTCTTTACGTTTTGATCATTAGGTAGATAAATTACCTTTACAGTAAAAAGTCCTCTTCTGTAGGATTTTAAATGTTTCTGCATAAAAATGAAGGATCAGTGAAGGATCCTCTGAAGTATCAGTGTCACTTATGAATTTGTTTCTGTCTGTTTGCTTCAGTGAATAGGCGTTTGAGCAACTATCCTTATAAATAGTTAGCTGCTTGTAGTTGAAGGAATTTAGTTATTTAATACTATATCTGAAATACAGTATCATTCTATCCTAAAACCTTTTGGTTAAAAATAAGGGAAAGAAAAAAGTGTTCCAGATCACTGAAACTGAATGACCTCATTTTAAACTTCCATGAATTGTTGATACACTTGGAAAAATAAATGATAAATTTGTACTTAGTAACTTGTCACCATGATTATGCTTTCTTCTTAGGAAGCCAAAATTGAACCAGAAGAATTTACAAAAAAGCTATATATAGAGCTGAAGTCTTCTCCACAACCATATTTAGTTCCTTTTCTCAAGGTAAGCATTTAAGGATATATATATATATTTATATGTACATATAATATAAATATATAAATAAACATATATAAATATACCTATATATATATATGTATTTAATGGGGGTAGCAAGGCCAGAAGAGAAAAGGAAAGGAGCCAGGGGAGTATTCAAACAGTTATTTGCTCAAATCAGTTGAGGAAATCATGCTTAACCTTGTCCTTTGTTACTGCAGGTCTTGAAAAAGTGGAGATATTTTTGTATGGTGTTTCAAAGGAGTAACTTTATTTGTATTTGCAAGCTGGAGACTAATATCACTACTGAAGACTACTTTTTTGGGATCTGGTCCATCTACATTAGAGCAGCTGCAGTAGAATGATCTCTTACTTTTTCATCAAAACTGCAGCTATTCTAAATTCGAATACCTTACTGAACTTTAAAGTCATATAACACTTATGAACACAGTTTATGCAATATTTAAGCTTGAATGCTAGCTTTATATAGCTTCTTTAGTTGTTTTCTGGTGGGTGTTTAACTTTTGCAACTTAAAATAATAATAACAACTCAGGATAACTGTGCCTCCATTCAAGCAGGTAATCATGTAGATATAAAAAAGCTGTCTTAACTTTTTAATCACATGTTAGAATGGGATTTATTGACAATCAAAATAAAAATGAGCATCTTTCTCATGTATCAAGCAGCATATTCCAGTAAAAACATGGAAATTAGTCATATTTATGTAAGCGCTGTGCACGCTATGCTCTTAAACTTGATGGATCTGTGTTTGTCCTTACTGTACAGTATAGGCAGTGTAGAGTCATGAGTAGTGAAGTGTAAAGCCGGGACAGAGTTTCTCTGGTGTTTATCCTCTTTCTTTGCTCTTTACCATACACATAACAATGCGTGTTACCACGTGTTAAGATTACTGTAGATGACTGATTGTAATCTGTTCAGGTATGGGATTTTTTTTGTTTGGTTACAGTGGCAGCCTTCTAAATGCTTTACTCAGGGGTCGAGAGGACTAGTCTTCTCTGTGGTGCTTGATGAAAAGTTTTGCTACTGGTCACCTTTTGATTCTCCATTTAATTTCTTAGAGGCTTCTTAAATGTCCAGACAGAAGCCAAGAGTACAGGCCTTTCTGCATCTGACTTGCACTGTAACGGTCTATTGTAGTTCAGGTTTTCCAGTCACTTTCCTAGAATACCTTGTGGAACAACTGTAGTACAAATAGCTCTGTTATCTGTGGACAGTTTTATTGTGGCTGCGGAATGACCAGGCTGTGAATGCGGTGTCAGTGTGACTGACAAGGCTTTTCTTTGAGTTCTGTACGGTCTCAACTCTACTAACTGCCATAACAAGCTTGGCTTCAGAAGCGGTGAAGCTGCCATCTGCAGGGGCCCTCGATAATGAAACCTGGGGAACACAAGCTGGCTGCATGTGTGCAGGGCCAGCTCGGATGCCATTGTGCGGTGTTCCCAAAACAACATAGATGAACCTCAGTAGCCTTGCTCAGACCTAGCCCAAGTCTGGCATAGCTAGAACTTACCTGGCGCTAATGAGCCCTGACAGACCCAGACTAATTCCTGCAAAGGAGTCTAAGGGCTAGGCTTGCCGCCCTACATTTGCTAATGCTTTGGATTGCCAAGGATTTATTAACTCGGGCATAGTGTTGTCCCCATATATTCACACAAGTTCTCTGCCTGAGTTAGTAAGGGATCCTGCAGTGTGGATTGCTGATACTTGTGGTGCAAAGCCCTTGAAGCAGTTCCACAGGAGTTGGATCACGTTCATCAGACCTGGACTGGCATCACACAGAGCTGCTGCATGTTTCTCTTGCTGTGTGCTACTAGATACTGGTATCATCTAGGCTTTTCCATTATGAGGAGTATCCATGCTCCCGGAATCTCTGATAACATAGTGTACAACAGAGTGCATCTTAACAATGAATACCAGACTTCAATAACATTGTTCAGACACTGTCGTGATTGAAATTAGCTGATTTGATAGTGCTACCCATCCTTTAAAATGTCTTGTTTACTGACTGCTTTTGTCCAAAATACCTTAAGAATCTACAAGCAATATAGACCAGACTTAACTGGTTTATAACTCTGGGCAGCTGTGACAAGACTGAGTGCAAAATAAAGCCTGACTTGAATGCTTCTCTTCACTATGTGAATTGCCAATTCACTTTTAGCTAGCAAAGTGGAACTTTAGGGAGGACCCTAGTGCTATCCAGTTCCAAAGTTTCCTTGTTTTTGAGACACAGGTTTTTGGTGAAGTTGTTGCATTTATTTTTGTCTCTTCCAATAGATGGAGAAGAGCAGTGACTCTGGCTGTAAAGCCTACTTAATTTTTTTTCAAATCTCTCTTGAATGGTTTTGGTCAATATATCACGTGAGGAAAGCTAAGTAGCTTTTTAAAAGAAAAGAAAAATAGGTGCCATAGGAAGTCCGGATGTGCAAACTCAGTCAGCAAATGGTTTACTCGGTTAAGGTATTGGCATGTAAGATAACATGCTCTTTTTGCTTGAAGTGCAGAGGAACAGCATTTTATGCTGGAGACTCTTACAAACATGAACTTTTTCTGTCAATTTTTGAAGTTCAAGGAATATAGTAGTAGCTGCAGAAATGATTTCCCTTGGTTCTGAGCCTTGGAGGTTTTCTCCTTGACTATTTACAATCTGTAAAGGGCTTGAAGACAATTCTGTTCGTTGACCTCCTCAAACGTAGTTGTAATAAAAATGAGAAGTGGCCAGATAACCTAACTAACGTTCTCCTGATGGTGAGAACTTATTTGGCTTACGGTGTGCTGCTCCAACTACACAGATATAATTAGAGTGGTATCCCCCCCTAGTGTAGATACAGCTGAATTGGTATAGAAGTGCTTGTATCTTTAGAGCTTGTATCTGACTTTATTGGGTAATTTTTAGTTCTCTATCAGAGATGCTCCATGGAGTTATGATATGTTATATCATAACAGTTGTTATGATATAGCAGGGTGTTTTGCTTTATTTTTGGCAAAACAAAAATGAATTTCTGAGGTAGTAGTTGAGATTGTTTCAATCTGAAATTTACGTTGCAGAATAAGACTATGTAAACAAAAGAATAAAATTTCTCTACAGATAGGATTTGCTCTACCAATAGAATAAAATTTCTCTATAGATAGGATTTGCTCTTCACTGTAGTGAAGCTCTAGTGACTATTGACCTTTGCTCAGTCTGTGTTAGTGATTCTTGTGGTCTTCACTCTGCATTACCTCTATCAATTCAAGAGCACCTATGTTTACTCTATGAATTCTAACAAAAATTTTTGTTTGAATAACCAATTTATTGTCTCATGGAAAAGATTAAATTGGGAGATGAAAGAGGGGTTCGGTTGCTGGTGTAACATTTAATTTTATGGAAGACTTATGTCCATTTTTTCCCCCTCCTCTTGTTCTTCTAGAAAAGCATGCTTGCCTTACGGCAGCTAATGCCCAATGCTCAGAGCTTTATCCAGCAGTGTATGCAGCAGCCAGCTCCAACCCAAGAAGCTGTTTCAACTTGTACCTCTGCAGTGCCAACTCCTTCTGTAACGGCGGCAGCCTCAGCAGTAGCAACAACTTCTCTTCCAACTATAAAATCAGTGTCCACCTCTGCAACAGTCACAGCCTCTCCGGTTATAAAACCAGTCTTTTCTAGTGCGTCAGTGACAGCCTCTCTGCAAGCTGTGAAACCCATTCTTGCCCCTGCAGTGGTGACAGCCTCTCTTCGGCCTGCAAGTCCAGTCCTCACCACAACAGTAGCAACGTCAGGGCTCACTGCTATCCAGACTGTAAAGCCAGTCTTCACCTCTGCAGTAGCAACATCAACTCTTCAACCTGTGAAGCCGGTACTGGTCTCAACAGTGGCAACTTCTGCACCAACCCCTCTGCAGCCTTTGAAACCAGTCATTGGAACCCCAATCAGTATTAAAATCTCACAGCCGAACTCCATTGTTGCGCAGTCAGTTGGTACTCAGCAGGTGGTTAAAGTGAAGCAGTTGGTAAGATAGATTCCTTTCCTTCTCTGTAATGAGGCTTATTTGCTTTGACCATCAATTTGCTAAGATGGTGCCAATTTGCATCTTAGCCTTTTTTGATTAGAAACTGCTCTGTTGTGAGTTAACTAGTTGTGTCTATTATAGCTGACTAGTTATCTGTGCTTCATAAATGGACTGTAGCTGGATTCCTTGATCTGAGACTAGTCTGCAGCCCTCCTGGCAATGTTGAAAGGTAACTAACTTTCAGCAGATGTTATAGGTAACAGTTGTGGATGTTGAGCACCTGGTGAAAAGGTGAATCTAAAGCCAAACTGTAAGCTGGATCTCTTGCAAGTTACGCTGAACACCGTTCCACCAGACTGAGCATCCTGAATGCAATGGGAGGGAATCAGAGTTCTGACTCCGGGTATGCTTACATTTAGGCTAGAAGAAAAGGCAGGAAATGTTTACATTAGAAACCGAAAATTGATGAGGGGATATTTACATTAATTACCATTAGATGCCCCTGTTAGGGCTGTACCTCAGCTAGCTGCTACGGATTCTAGTCTCTTTAGCTTGATAGTTTCTGTCCTGAATTTTTTGTGGGCATGATTGACTTGATATTTAGTGGTATGGTTTTTGTTAACTAAATCGTATGAGCTAGCTTTCCAGAGTGGAGTGCTGACCTCAAAATCAGTAACACTCCATTCCATTTACTAAGATGTGTTAATATGAGGTCATCAAAACGTGAGCATCCTCTATCGGGCCTCATTAGCTAACAAATTAATGGAGGAATAAACGTCTTTAGAACAATAGCCTCAAAAGCAGTATTAACATTACTCTTTCTTGGCAGAAGATGACTTCTTACTAATGTTAAATACTAACCTGTTAGTCTCTGGAAAAGGAGCCTAACAACTATGAATCCACAGGTATACCCAACAGAGCAATATTGTGTAATACATTAAGTTTACTTTATGGACGTTTAAGGTACTGAATAGCATACTAGGTAACTGGTGTCTACCTGAGTAATGTTCTCAGGTTTATTGAAAGAGTTTTCTCATCTTGGTGGATAAAGAACTCTGCTTGAATAGGACTTCCTCGTAAAGATTTGCCCCTTAAAACGAGGGGGAAATGTTATACTTTCTCTGAAACTCAATTTACTTTCCACAAGTATGGCAGAGAATCTAATGTGTGAATTTCCTGTGGAGTTTGGTTACTGTGATATCTTGATTTAATAATATTTAAACCTTGAAAGTGTTTTGCTTGCCTATTCTCCTCCTTCCAAAGTAGGTAAGATGGATGTAATACAGGAATCGTGCACTCCAAATAGTTTATTCTACCAGCATATTTCTTTTTCAGACTTGCTTGAAAAGAACAAAGCACTGAACTGTATGGGGAAAAGGGGCTTTTTGGGGAGGGGGGGGGAGAAAAAACATTCTACAGCTTGTATAAAGTAACTTGAGCAAAGTTGTTATTCGGAGTATGCACTGATAAACTTCAATGGTAGCCAGAGCCAAATTGGAAAAGGAGTCACTACTGTTACTGTCTTTAAGGACTAAATTTGAAATTACAGCCAAAAGAAAATGAGGGCTGCTTCAATTGTATAAGGACTGGAGAGCAGTTTGGCTATGTAGCAAACCATGTAATCCAGGGGAAAGGTTCACCATCTGTACAAATAGATGAGGAAGCTTAACTCTACACTGGGGAATTGAGCTGCTTCTTGAATATAATATTGCTGAGCTCATGAAATGACTTTTATCTCCCCTACAACTGCAGTGTGGCAACCAAATGCAATTTTTCTTCACTATGCCTTACAAACAATAAATGGCAGGCAAAACATTTTATTCTCATTTGGGTAGATTGTTTAAAAATATTTGCTCTTGCAAATAGCCATTTAGGTTTGGTCTTGGGTAGAGTTGAAGGGCTGAGTTGACCAGTTAGCAGCTCAGCCATAGCAGGAGTTTGACATTTGTTTTGGCAAGCTATTAGCACAATGGAGAAAGTAATAGAAGTGACTACATCCTGTAGTGCTTTCCTGATGCCTTTCCTTTTAAAAGGACAAAGAGACTGTTCCCTCCTCCTTGAAAACAAATTCAGGAGCTAACCTCCCTAAATAGAAGGGTCCTGCTGCCAGCTGAAAGGAGGTGCCTGCCAGCTGTGCAAATCTGTCCATACACTGCTGCCAGCATATTTTTCCTTGTTCTAGCCCTCCGGGTTGTCTGATACCATACACTCCCTCTGTCTGCCCACTTCTAATTTGTAGTGCTTGAGGAACGTGAAGCAAACATCTTCTGTGCCTTCCTATGCCAGCTCTACTGTAAAGTTGATGCTTACGAATGCCACACTGCAGTCTTTTCGTGTCAAAACTGTGGCGGCGGCAAAGTAACACGGAACTATATCTTTTCTGCAGTAAAACTATGAAAATTCAGGGTTTGTATGGGGGATGCTAAGGGAGCTGTTCTTAAGGAATGCTGTTGGGACTGGATCCAGCATCTCTGCTATGAGTTGCATGTTGCTTCCCTGGCAGCTGCAGATTCTGAAGGGTTTCCTCCCACTGACCACTCCCATTCTAACTATTCCCATTCCTCCCATTCACATGCAACCTTATTTAAAGGTGCTGACTTAGGAAGCTTTATCTTGGAAAAATAGCTCGTCTTCTATAGTATTGCTTTGTCTCTTGTGAAAGCATAATAAATAACAGATTACCCTCACCAAGCTCTAGATTTTAATAGTGAGAAAGCTGCTATGAAATTGACCTCACAATAAGCATAAAGAGTGATAGTTTTACAGTCGCGTCTCACTGGTAATTACAGAGACTAACTGGGTACTGCTAGTGATGGAAGCAAGGGGTGAAACGCTTGTGGTGTTCCAGCCACTTGTTTTTAGTGAGTTATGCAATGCTGAATCCCCTGAAAGCTGAACTTTCTTGAGCAGATTCTTCTCCTGATCTCTCTGGCCATGTTTTCATATCAGAGCACCTCAGGCAAAGTATGATGGTTCTTGAGAAAACTATAAAATCGTCATTTGCTTTGAAACTCTACACTTAGTATATGATGCAAAATAAGAATCACAAAGCACACACGGTAATAAGCTAAAACAAACTTGACTTCTTGTAGATAACAGGTGGTTTGGTCATTGTTTCTTTTATTTTACGTGAGCCTCGTAACCTTGTGAAGACCAGAGAATTACCTGCTTGACTAGGTATCTTCAAGTAAATGGAAAATCCATTTTTCCCTAATGAAATCATTTAATCCTTAAAAATAAGGCTTCCTGAGGTGGAAGCTTGTGCTGTCTTTATGGTGTCAGCTGCATGTTACATTAGTTTTTTTTTTATTTAGCGTATCAGTGCTTTTTATTCTGGTGTCTCTGTCAACCTGCTTCATGGGGCACAAAGGAACTGTCCCTTTTCTGTATTGCTTCTTTTGCTAACCTAAAGAAAAAAGGCAATATCTCTTTCTTAGTCCTAATCTATTTTTGTAACACTTTTTCCAGCATTTGGTCCTTATTGAAATCTCTAAGATTGCCCTCTTCTGTTGCAAACTCCAAGGACTTTCAGCTTTTGTTAGCCTAGCAGGTAGAATGGCAAACGGAAAATAAGCTTTACTACCGGTACATCCTTTCAGTTTCAGGTTGATTTAATCTCCTCTGTTACTTTACTACTTTCCCAATTTCTACTGAGGCTATTGATTTTACATTGCTTGTCTGTGTTCTTTTGTCTGCCATGCCTTAATCTTGAACGCTTATTTTCTTTCCTGCGTTATTTCAGTTCTTTGCATGCTGAAGATGAAGTATTTTCACTGGCTGTAGGGAAGATCTCTGGGTGCGTGTCAGTATGGATGTTGGCAGATCCTGAGAGTAGTTTTGTCTGAACTGGTTAGTGATTTGGTCGTTATCTGAATGCATAAATTGTGCTATTAAAGTTACTTTCAACTTCAGACATGTGGAAGCTGAGTCTTTAAGAAAGATCAAATTTAGTTTGTGAAATTTAGTTTGTGAAAACAAATAGAAGCAAATGTTAGTGTCTATACCAGTTCTAGCTGAAGCACTCTGCATGCATGAGATTTGTCTCTGTCTTCTTTAGGTGTCCGTACTCTGGAAGTTTTCTCTGTACGCAAAGTTTGAGGATCTCGATCTTACATTTTTTTTCCTCAAGAACTAGCTGCTTTTGTCTAGTTTTCAGACTTCAGTTTCAACTCAGTTGTTCTATGTAGTTTGGCTGCTATGCCAAACCATGATATAATTAGCAGATTGATAACTGGGGGGTGCAATCTTGAATTTTTTCATAGACAAAACCACCTTTCTTTTTGTGAATGTGTGACGCTTAGGCTGATGGTGTTCACTGATAAATCTGAAGCCAAATGACAAAAGGAGACAGCCTAATTTTCTGAAGTATAGTAAATGTCAATGCCTTTAAATAAACTTGAATAGTGTTGCTGTGCAAGCACTTTCTAGACTTTCTGAACTAACAATAAAGGACTTAAGGAAAACATAGTTTCTGGATCCTGAAAATTCCTTTGTATTGTTTTTTGCCCCTAAACAATTAGGATTCAATCTGAAGATGCTAATAATTTTATGCTTTGGTAGAAGGATGTTAGCATCTGTTACGGTCTAGGTCTTTCTACTATTTGTAAACAATTTTTCCAAATGATCTATTAAAATCTGCAGCCCATGTTCCCCTAGGTTAGGAGGGGTAGAAATAAAGTGTTTTAGGGATACTATAAGTTTATTACTGTCCTGCATTTCAATTCTTCCTGAAGAAGAAGAAATAGTAGTTATGAGCTGTGCCTGTAGATCTGTCTTATGATATCCTGCTGTCTGTTCTTGTTTATTTCAAGAGCCTCTTTAAACAAAACTGTCAGACATTCTCTTTTACCCTTCACCAGTGTACTGATGACTTTGTGTAACGCTTTCAAACTTTTGCTTAACACTTTCAAACTAAGCGTTCCCATTTACAATTGATCTTGTAGCTCCAAAAATGCCCTAGTAATTTCATTGTGCATATTCATAATTTAATTTGTAACAGGAAAAGGATTGCACACATGATTTGACCTGTGTGCATGTGTGTTAAGAAACTGTATGTGATACCTACCCTTCTGAACTTGTTGGCAGGCAGACTTAATTTTCAATGGATAGTCTGTTAGACGAGACTCTTACCAAGAGGAAAGCCTGTTAGTGTCATGGATTGTATAGTGTTCTGTGAAACCTCTGATATAGCTATAAATAGAGAGTAGGGTGAAATGTCTGTTAGAGCTCTCTGGACAAGCTGGAGCTTTAAGCTCACCACCTGTTGTTAAGATTTGTTTCTTGTTATGAAGTCAAAAAATGCATATGAGTGTGTTTGAGCGGGCTGTTTGTTACAAACTGAAAGGTAGACATGCATGCCTGCCCTGCAGCACTTCTGGCTGAATGAATGTGTTGATACTATTTACTACCCTGTATATTTAGCTCTTCTTACTCTTGATATTGGATATTCTATTTCCAGGTAGTCCAGCAACCATCAGGAACCGTTGTAAAACAAGTATCCACGCTCCCACAACCCTCAACACTGACCTTGCAGACATCTTCTGAAAAAAGGATGCCACTGAATACACTTGTTCAAACTAACCAGTTTCCTGCAGGTACAGCTGAACTCTTTTAAAAGAGAATTGAGAGGACTGCCGAGATACGTTCCTATAATCTGCTAATTTATACATATTTCTATAAGAAGGTGATTATTTATCAGAAGCAACCAGTTTTGTGTGATAAATGGAGCATCTTTACTGGCTGCTTGGAATTATAATTAGAATCTTTCAGTACTATGTCAACTTCTGTTGCCTCTTAGGGACACGTCACTCAAAAATATTTTTACTTTTTAGAAATACTGTAAGCTCATTGCGGTAAGCTTTCTCTGAAGAGTGGTACTTTTGAGTGTCACTTCATGAGGCTTAGCTCTTCCTGTAGCAGGTCTAGGTTAATGTATAATGCAAGTTTTATCTCAGCTAGCCAGTTTTGGCTGATATATGTAACCTTTCACTGATCAGCACAGAGGAGGGTGCTTTGCATAGAGTATAGGGGGTTTTGGCCATACAGAACACGTAGAATGTAGTACTCCTGAGTGTCTGGTTTTTCAAATGGACCTAATTAGTTGCTGTTGAGTCTACAGCAGCCTTTGTTAAAAGTATGCACTGCTTAAACAGTTGTCTAGCATTTTGCTTTCTGCTGTGGTATGTTCTTCATTTGTTTTGTTTCAGGTTCCATTCTGAAACAAATTACCCTGCCAGGAAATAAAATTCTGTCACTTCAAGCATCTCCTCTTCAGAAAAATAAAATAAAAGAGAATGGAACAACTTCCTTCAGGTAAAAATAAACAATCAAAAAGTTTGCTATAGGAAGGAACAAAAGGAGCAGACAGCAAGTAGAGAAATGAGAACAGAGCCTAAATGGAAATAACGTTTTTAAAGATTTGGGTGTTTTCATCTTATAATGCTAATAGGCAAGGGACAACCTAAAAACTCTGACTTTGTAGCAGATGTTTATTATTCTTAATATAGCAAAACTGCCCTAATGAGTTAGGGTTTGCATTGTGCTAGTTCCAGAGTGTGAGTATACATAGTGTGCTTCAATATGTATCAGCTCTTCACTTGTAGAGGAGGTATATTGATCTTGATCCTGTGAGTACTATTAACTAATCCAAAGCAATGCTATCTTATATTGAAAGCTCTCCATAACGATGAAAGCAGATACAACCTCTACTTTTTACAGACAGATGGATAGCATTGCACTGTAATCTGGGCTAGCTGGTAACCTGTTAAAAACTCTGCTATATTACAAAATCCTTTATTAACTCTTCATAGAAGCTTGTTCCTAGAGGTAGAGGTGAAAGTCTTTGACTACACCTCTAATTTTTGCTTCTGGTATAGTCTCTAGGCCTTTACATGGCAAGAATACGTCAAGCTGTTCTGGTAACTGATTAGCTTTTCACGAGGAGAAATGATTTTAGATCTCTGAAATCTGCTATTGGAACAGAAGTGCAGTTTACCATAAGCATTAGTGGTCCTGTGACCTTAAGACAAGCTTAAAGTTGGTCTTCTGGGGTAAAAGATCACATGACACCTCTGTCTTGCTGACCAGTTGACATCTCATCTTTTGAAAGCCACAACTTCATGTGTTCTGAAGATATGGAACTGTTGCTACAGTAATATACGATGTACACTGAACACTTAAAACATGGGTGGCCAGAAGCTGGAACAAGAAGCTAACGTTAATGATGTAGCTCTCTTTTAGTCTCTCAAGCTCTAATGAAATATACCTTCAGAATATAATTTGCAAAGTAATTTTGTGTAGTGATGTTTGAAAAAAATCACTTTATAAATATCAGCATTAGGAAGGCAACATCAGAAAAAGAAATCTTTCTCTGACCTTCCAGTCAGTATATGCCAGTTCCTGTATATGGAAAAAAAGTGTTTGAATTCCTGAAGCTCATTTCTTAAACTTTCAAGTTCTCTGCACAGCTGTTTAGAAAAACTGTTACTACAGTTCAACCTCACGTGGATTTCTACTCTTACTTTTAGATTATGATTTTCCTAGTAGCTTAAGGCACTGAGAACTCAGATTTGAAATATCTATCTAACTTTGAAAGTCTAGTTAAAATTTTTACAAGCCTTTCTGTTTTATAGGTCTTACTTTAGAATAATGACTTTATGTAAGTCTTAAGTTTTTTGTCTCTGATGGTGCCGCTTTGGATGCATTGCTGATAATGTTCTTCTCTGGTATGACCAAACTTTTTGACTTTTAAAAACTGCGTATGGCAATCTTTGCATAGCTGAACCTGGGCAAGTACACACCTAAACTTTTGATTTCCTTAGATCAAATATCTGTGTTCTCTGAGCAGATCTAGTGCTACATGGCCTTAATTTGGCCAAGAAAACAGACATGCTCCAGTAGGCTGTGAAGTGGCTTACTTTCTTCTATCGTCAACTTCTAATGCTCCCAGCATAGCTGTTCTTTATGATCTGTGACCCATCAATCAGTTGATGATATGTGAAGCAAAGAAAAGCACCATGGTCCCTTTTTAGGCTTTCTGACATGGTTCACTAGGGGCAGAGAGCATGCCTTGTATTTGCAGTGGTTGTATGTGTGATGCTTAAAGCTGTGGCCTCTCCTCACAGTACGTCAGCAAACCTGATTCCTTTTGCCATTGTGTGACTAGGTTAGGTTAGAACATAATACTCACCAAACTGTGCTTAATGAGGTGCAATTTTGCTTTGTTTACTACTGAATGTGTTTTTGGTTGTTAAGGATGAGTAATAGCAAAAAAAGGTGAATGCTTTTGCAGTTTAAAAAAAAAAAAAAAATCCTGCTACAAATCGGAAGACTTCAGCTAAGCTTGGGTGTAGTTGATACTCGGTTGTCCTGTGGAACATACTGTAAAAGGGCAGCAATCTGCTTTAAAAACCTTGGGGTTTTTATAAAATGCTCTACACGTTTTTATAAGTATATGCCAGAGCCTCATGGAGAAACTAATCTGCAAATAGAACAGAGTTGTCCTCAAAAGTGCATATAATTCTGATTTGTGTGTATTGTCTGGCAGCTGAGATTATTGGTACCTTCCAGACAAACAGAAGCAGTGATATAGCAGAGTACAGAACATCTGATCAGCTGTTCCTCCTGTCTTACGGTGGTCTGGAGTGCTGGTTGTGCTTGCTCTATTGGAACTGTTCAGTCCCATTTAGTTGTTTGTGGCAACGCTACAGAGGTTCGCGTTAAGTGTTCTTTTTCCAGTTCTCCCTTTTATTGTTGTGTAAAATGGAGTAAATAGAAGATATATTCAGAAGAAAACACGTGCGTTGTTCAAACACTAGAGGGTGCCACAGACTCGCTTTTCAACCAGTATAGTCAGATTCATGGAACGAGGTATATCTGCATTGCTTAGGTTTCTTTTCCAATTGGTTGTACTGTTTGAATGTCAAATCTGATTTCATACAGAGTAACTGAGAGCTGTGCGTTTTGCATTCCTCTTAATCCTGGTAAGCTTAAATCACTGAAGACTTGCAACAGCTAGAAGACTTAATGCCGACTGATTCTTGTTTTTTTTCCCTTGGGTGCGACATGTTCTAATGTAAAAACATTAAAGGAACTACTGTATAAGATGGGCTTTGCAGAGGGATTCCTGAACATGAAAGCAAGTCAGTATCCAACAGAAACAGTTGCACACATACTCTGAAATATTTCCAACTTATTTTATTAATAAAATATTTTAATAGCTTATGCTAAATATATGGTACCTTACTTAAAGTGATTGAGGTTTCTTTGAACAGCAAGAAGAGACAGCTAGTAAAACTACAAACTTAACATGGCTTCTGAAACTTTTATTAATCTCTAGTAAGCACCACTTCTAAGGAAAGGTAATGATGGTTTGTTCGGTTGAAGTAAAATAAGTGCAGCAATATTTTCCTAGGTACAAATTAATCTTTCCTCAGTACTAGTGGGTCAGTGACTTAATGCAATCTTATATCCCACAGCAAAGAAGTTGGAATTGGTCTTTAAGTAGCACAGAGAAGTCTGTATATAAGCTGTGTACACGTGTACTTGCACAAGAGAAATCATGTGATTGGAAATAAAGAAAACAGTAACTTGATAAAGGCTAGTTTTAGAAAACTGAAATTTCTGTAGGTAGAAAGTGAAAAGTGGGTAGGAATGCAGAATGCAAGTTTACCTGTCCCCTTCTTGAACATTCAGAGTATGTGGCTATCAAAAGCTAATTGACGTAAACTGGAGCACTAAAACATTTTTTCTGAGGTGCAAGCATCTTTACTGAAAGAAAGATTCCATAAACAGCTCTGTCAGAGTAGTGTTAGATTTCAGCCCCTGCAGCTCTGATAGTTTGTGATATATGGTCTTGTTGCTAGTTATGTTGATTTCATAATCTTCTCTATCAGCAGGTCCATGACAGTCATTACACTACAGTGGGGGTCTTGTCTCTGCCACTACTAAAGACTTTTCTGTAATATTGGTGGTCATTAAGAGGAGGAAACTGGAGTGTACTTGTGAAGATCAATTAGCACTCAGTTATCATGCACAGAAGCCTCATTTGAACACTCCTTGAAAGATTAGGATTTTTATTAGGCTGATAGAGTATGAATATATGCTTGGATTTGTTCAGTTGCTGCTTGTGATGAGAGAGGAGGGGGGAAAACTTTCTTATGGTGGTGACTTTAGCTTTAAATAGTAACAGAGGTCATTTAACTCTTCTAACAATCTTGGGTTTTAATGCTTTTCTTAGCATAATAAATTTCAGGCACAAGCCTAGTCGGGAAGTTTAGTCTAGTTAGGCTTAATGAATGAAGCTGTCTTGAGAAGGTGTTGGGTCTCCTTTTCCCTAAACAAATTATGTAGAAGCTGCCTAGCCATGAGAATAGGCAAATGAAAGGCAGGAGTAGGGGAAAGTTGGATTCTTTTGCTCATCAGACTTCTGTTCAGAAGTATATGGGAGAAGATTTTGTGCTGTAGAAACCTATTAAAGCCCTAACAAGAAAATGCATCTATAGTTAAAATAACTTTCATGTGACTTTGGAATATCACTCAAGGCATTTTCTTATAACTTCAGCCTTTGCCTATTGCCAGCCAGAAGTCAGCGAAGAGATCCCGTCTTCACCTAAGAATGGCATGTCTGGCCTACCCTGTTTCAAGAGTTATTTAAGCTATACAGTATTTTCTGAAAATAAGTTTGCCAGACCTTCTCACAGTACCTTTCCAGAGTGGTGTTTTTAATTTTTTAAAATAAAAGGAGCTTCAGACTGTAACATTTATACAGACAAGTGGAAGCACTCAAAGATCGATTCTGGGTTGGTCCTAAATTCTTGAACCTGCCATAGGACCCTAATCGTTTTGTGAAGCAATAAAGCTTTCTCTCTTGATGATTTAAATTTATATCTGAAAATAACTTGAATTGTTCCACTACAGAAGTTCTACAAAAACCTTTCTGATATAAGGTTCATTCAATATTTTAACTTAAATGATTTTAAAAAAATGAGGGGGGGAAAGCTGAGGTATACAAGCTATTTGCTTAATGTGAGCTTTGCTGTGATTATAGCTAGTCTGAGTTATGGTAAGCCTAAGTGTGTCAGCCGTGAGTTTTTATTTTTAGCGTTCAGTTCAAAACTGCTACAACAGAATCTGGCTAGCACAGAAGTGTTAAGAGCTAGAGCTCTACCACTGCTCCTTAGAGATACAGCATCCTCTCCACTAACTAGATAAGTACTGTATAGTAGAACTGATTCAAAGGGCGAGATCTGGGTTGGTTCTTTAGTGTACTAAACAGGGAGCATTTGTCCCTTATTCTTAAGGGAACTTAGTAAAAGAAAAATGAAAGTCAAGTTTAAGCTAATACAGTGGTTCTGAAAACTCCTGTTAGTAGGATACAGATCTCCTTTAGTGATTGAGCTTGTTTATAGTATGAGTCAGTATTCAGCTTCACTCAGCATTCGCTGCTACCTGATGAATTGCAACTTTAGAACATCTCAGTTAATCTGTGACTTTCTGTGGACTCGGAAAGGAGCCTTGACTTTTTTGCCTTCTGAATATTGTTGCCGATAAAATCCTACTGTGGTAGGAGCAGTGGGTGGGGATGGGGAAGGGAGGGCTTGTATAAGGAATATACAGTCCCAGTTTACCTCAGTCCTTGGTTTCCAAGCTTGCTTAAAATTTCACTTCTAATATTTCCTCTCATGCAAAGGCTCTGTGTGCCTAGCATCTGAGGCATTGGTTAAGGCAATGATGAGAGGCACTTCACTGAATTGTGAAAGTTTTTCTTCTTTCCCCATCCGCTCCTACACTAGATGTGTGTTGTACGGAGGTAGCTTTCAAAATATACGAATGTGGCCGTTTGATTAAGATAGGCTTTTTCTTTGTTTTCATTCTGAATGAAGCATAACATCTCTTTCTCTTTAGTAAAGATGACGATGATATCAATGATGTGACTTCTATGGCTGGGGTCAATCTTAATGAGGAGAATGCATGCATTTTGGCAACAAATTCTGAACTCGTTGGTACAGTGATGCGTTCATGTGCAGATGAACCTTTTCTCTCCTCAGAAGCTCTTCAGAAGATGATCTTGAACATAGGTGAGAACAAATAAGTAACTGATATGTATGGATGTAGTATTTTCTTGTCTGTTTTATCAGCCAGCCTCTGGTCCTTAAAGGAGGAAGAGCCATTACGATCTACCACCTTGACTCATGACCAATCTATACTAAGCTTTTGCTTGACCTTCCAAGAAAGATATGTGCTCTAACTTAGTTAACTATCATCCATGCAATGCAGATACAGTAAACATCTCAAAGACTTACAGAAAATGTACTTCTAGAATAACGGTCTGGTTGTTCAGTTAAAATCGAAAGTACAAGCCTGGCTGTTTCATGACTTCCATGCTAGCTGTTTTGTGTTAATAATATGATAGCTTTAGTTCATGTTGTAAATGAAGAGTGTTTTGATTGCAAGGAAAGGAATATTGTCAAGGAGTACAGTAATTCAGAAAATAAAAGCTTCTGTTCTTGAACTGAGATCTCCCTTTGGTTTAGGAAGTGTATATCAAGGAAGGTCTTGAGAGGTTTGAATTATTTTTATTGTTTTGTTTTAAACTGACTTATTTCAGGTGTTCTAATAGACAAGTGGAGAACTGCTGGGGAAGTCTTGAAAGATGCTTGAGCAAAATAAACTTTGCACTGAGATAAAGCACAGCCTTAGACAGGAAGGAACCTTAATATTTACTGGGTGAGATCAAATTGTGGGAGCATTTTAATCATCTCTGGGATAACATCATAGATTCTTCTTGAGAGATTGCTATTCTAACTGAAAATGAATAATAAAGGCAAATTGCATAGGGTGTGCTGTTTATCCATTCTTAACGCTCAGCTTAGCGATAAATACTAAAATGGATTTTAAGTGCATACTGTATATTGCATCATAAAGTATTACAGCTACTGTAAGTGCAGCGAGGGCAAGAAGATGAGCTGCTGCTAGGTACTATATCTGAAGTCTGCAAAACGGCTGTAGTCGCTATTGTCCAGGTATCTTGGCTGACCTGCGCTGGAGAGATTGATTGTGTCAGCCTCGAGAATGCTTCTCCATCGGCTGTCTGCAACTGTGAGAAGGTTGCAGAGGTGACTCCTAGCTCTGGGCATAGGGTCCAGACAGCTTTGCCCAGAGCTGTCGCCAGCCTTGATAGCAGCTGTTGAAATGCAGAGAGGCAGCAGTGCGCGTTGGGGAATGGAGAGGAGTGGCAGCTGGAGAGAAGGGGTCGAAGGCGATGGCATGACGACCCCAGTTGGAGTAGATCTGTATTTTCCAAGTTGCTACCTAGGGATTGTTGGGTCAGTCTGCCATATGCTGGTTGGTTGAGGTAAGTGAGAAGGGGGCCTGTGTCTGTATGCCTGGAGTGTGCTGCAAAAACTATCCCTGTTCGCTGAATAAATGTCATGAGTTGTTAACAAGCACGGTGTCAAGCAGGGCAAAATGTAATTCTCTATTTTTTTAATTACTGAAATTAACAGAATATGCCACTAATTTCTACAGCTACCATTTCTACCCCTCCCTGAACATGAAGCTTGATTTGTGTTCTTATTAACTTTGTCCTATAAATGACCTTGCGAGGAGAGTGATTCTAGAGGCTAAGTGAAACAATGTCTATATTTTCTGAAGCTCCAGGCTAAGTTTTATTAATGTAATGTCTAAGATCTTTGAAGTTGTGACTTTACCAGGAAAATCATAATCTCCAAACCTTTATTCATAATGGGTATGACTTCCAGGGGGAACAGAATACCTGCTGTGCTAATTATTTCAATTATCAGCTACTACTAAAACATGTAATGGATTTTCTCTGCTTCTACAGGTAAAAGGCATGACATTATGGAACTTAACTCTGATGTTGTGAACTTGATCTCCCATGCTACACAGGAGAGATTACGAGGGCTTCTAGAAAAGCTAACTGTAATTGCTCAGCACAGAGTATCAACCCATAAGGTAAAGGAAATCATTAAGCAAGCTTTGTGCCAAAGTTGTTTTTTTGTGCTTTGCAGCCTTGAAGGTAAACTTCTTCCATGTATAGGCACATCATATATAATATGTACGTTTTCGGTATCTACCAAAAGCTGGTTTTGTTATAACTATTTATAGTCTCTAACTACAACTGCTCCTTATTTTCCTTTTGACTTGGTAGGCACCCCTAAAACTAGAATTACAAATAAATGCATGCATTTTTCCTATTGCATAGAAATGGTGATTTTACTGCAAAAATCCCTGTCACCTGGTAGACGTAGAACTGTTTCTGAATGCTCTCTGTGATCAGTTCTCTGTTTACTAGAGACTAGCATGCACTTTATGCATTTGCTTTTAGTAGAGCTGCAGTACTGGTTCAGAAAGCCTTGAAAACTGAAAAAGTCCTTTTTTTAGTATCAAACTTTTTTTTTAAGAATTGGAAGTTAGAAATAATATGTCAACTGTGTGAGTTTGGTTTTTTACAGAAACTTTATCCATACAATGCAATATAATAGGAGCAACTGATGGATTAGAAGTTACTCTTCAACAGACTTATAGCTCTTTAAATATAGGAGAAGCAGTACTGAAGAACAGAAAAATGTTTGGAAACCTCCAAGTATTTACAGTGAGTCTGGGGAAGGTGGTATAAAGAAGATATGGGAAGAAAAAAAATCCAATATGGAAAAAGCATAGTGTTCCATGAATAGTCTGAACTTGTACACATTCTGTGTTGTCTCCCCAAAGTGGGAGATCTGATAAAGCTCATGAGCAGAAGTGAAGCATAAGCTGCAGTCTTGAGGAACTGCTAGGGCTTTGTCTTGCAAATGTCAAAGACAGCAAGCAAGTATTTTTGAACAGTGGATTTTCAGTATGACTGATTTATTTCTTGTTGAACTAAAGCGATGGTAAAACTGATCGGTTTTTGGGCTGACTGATGTGCCAGAAGCAAAGGTAGGAAGATTGTAAGGCTGCAACGAACTTTATTTTCCTATTTTCTCTCTCTCTCAAAAAAAAAAGCTACAATGGTTGAAAATGAGTATAATATCTTATAGTATCATCTTTCCAGTAGGAAGGTAGGAGTATATCATACAGGAGTGTCCTACAGGATTGCACTTCTGAGCGGTCCCACATGAGTAATGTTACTGTGATAGATTTCTAAAAGCTTGTGAGCATGTAACTTTAAAAACAGAGCACTGTAAGTCTGTAGAGCCCTATTATGTGTTTATATAGCCCTATATTCCATTGCCCCCAGTTCCTCCTCTTTTCCCTCTGGGCTCCTTTGCAGTTTGGACTCCTGTGTTGTTCAGAGAATTGTCCAAAGACTTTACAAGAGGATTGGATGGTTGCCCTATGCTGGTTTTTATTGGCTCATCTTTGTTACACACACACACACACACACACACGCATGCACGCATACTCACCCACTAGTACGATAGGCTTAATGAAAATAAGGCAGCTATTATTCGGGTAGAAGCTGATGGAAAAAAGATAGTAATTCATATGATAATACTCAGGAAACTTTTCTCTGGTTTATTGAGCTCATGCCTAGCAGCTTTCATCTGACAGCCTGTAAGAGAGAAAGTGCCTGCAGGGCAAGGCTTTTGACACTGTCTCCCATCACATCCTCCTAGGTAAGCTCAGGAAGTGTGGGCTAGATGAGTGGACAGTGAAGTGGCTTGAGAACTGGCTGGATGGCCGAGCTCAGAGGGTTGTGGTGAATGGCGCAGAGTCAAGTTGGAGGCCTGTGGCTAGTGGTGTCCCCCAGGGGTCAGTCCTGGGCCCAGTCTTGTTCAATATATTCATCA